TCCCAACTGCATTCCTCAAGTCCAACTCTGTTGCTGCCGGGAAGTTGGTCATCACAGCATCTGCCAAATAAGAATAAAAAAAAACAAAAAAAAACAAAGAAGCTTGGCATAACTTTTTACTTTAATTACACTAATTGTGACAGGGAGTCATTCTCTTTTGCTAGGATGACTACTAAAAACAAAAACGAGATATATATTGTGTATCAGTGTGTTAAAAGAGAGAAGCTCTCTGGTAAACGCTGTGTGTTTTATACACATACCTCTAATGACCGAGAACAGTGCAGTCTTCTCAAATGCCTCTTTCTGCAGCGGACCACCCCTTCATGTTGAATTTGGATATAATATTCCTAAAATATAATACAGATTGGGGTGGTTAACAATTGCGGACAAAGTTTGACATTTCAAAATGACCAGTTAAGGAATTATTTTTTAAATTTCTGATTTGTGTTGTAACTTATTGAGTATTGACACCACAATGTTTGATTAATGTGGCAAGATTTGTAGGCTTTACCTGTCCAGCATCCTTCTGGCACCGTCTTTGAGGTTTCTTCCTTCAACTCTGCACAACGCTAATGGACTTTGTCAGTGAGCTTTAGTGAGGAAATGTTATTTTGGAGTTGTTTTTTTTAACCATTGCTGCCCGGATCTTTTCCAGATGTTGAAACTCCTCCTCAGTTTCTCCAGTTCTCCTGAGTGTGTTCACTGTATAAATGAATATGGATTCATCTTTGTCAAAGCTGTGTTTGTTGTTGTTTGCTCTTTCACCTCTTCTTGCGCTGTTTTAAAATCGATTGAATTTGTAAACTCATACAAATGATAAAACTTTTACTCTATTAAATTTTGCAATGAATCCTCTGAACACATGCATGCTGAACCGGGGCTAGTCACGGATCACTATCAACTAAGATCTGCTCCCTTCACGAAAATGTAACGGTTCCTAAACATGAGAACAAATAATATAGATAAATAATGAACACATGTCAAAACGAAAACACAGATACTTCTGCCCGGATCTTTTCCAGATGTTGAAACTCCTCCTCAGTTTCTCCAGTTCTCCTGAGTGTGTTCACTGTATAAATGAATATGGATTCATCTTTGTCAAAGCTGTGTTTGTTGTTGTTTGCTCTTTCACCTCTTCTTGCGCTGTTTTAAAATCGATTGAATTTGTAAACTCATACAAATGATAAAACTTTTACTCTATTAAATTTTGCAATGAATCCTCTGAATACATGCTGAACCGTGGGCTAGTCACGGGTCTCTATCAACTATGATCTGCTCCCTTCACTAAAATGTCACGGTTCCTAAACATGAG